ATTGAACACTACGCCCACTTGGCTATGACTTACATTGTGGCTGCTATTGCATGGCCCAATTCGTGGCATATACCGTTGAGTATCAGAACGGCGAAGATGTACACCACATGACCCAGTGGCACTGTCACGCCCGGCAGCTGCATTTAAGTAGGTAGTTAGGATGAGGTACTTTCAGACAGGTGTATATTAAGTAGGTAGTTAGGATGAAGTACTTGCAGACAGGTGTATATTAAGTTGGTAGGTAGGATGAAGTACCTGCAGACAGGTGTATATTAAGTAGGTAGATAGGATGAAGTACTTGCAGACAGGTGTATATTAAGTAGGTAGGTAGGATGAGGTACTCGCAGACAGGTGTGTAATAAACAGGTAGGTAAGGTGGTGTACAGCTCAACGTGTGTGGTGGGTGCATATGAGACGTTCCCTATGAACATAGATTTAGAGGCGTGTGCATGTGCATGTGTGTGTGTGTGTATGTGTACGTGTGCGTGTGAATAGGTCATCCCATCCACATTAAGGAGTCTCGTATCGCGTTCATATGGGTGTTTTTACGTGTGCGTGTATGTGTACATGTGTGTGTGCATGTACGTGCATGTGTATGTGTGCGTGTGCGTGTGCGTATGCGTGTGCGTGTGCGTGTGCGTGTGCATGTGCGTGTGCGTGTGCGTGTGCGTGTGCGTGTACATGTCCTGTTCACAACCAGTGTGTGTGGGGGGGGGGGCGTGTTGTGGCGCTGAAGATTCCCTCACACACAGAAGTAAACCACATACCACCATTCATGCTAGTGCAGAACCGAGTTGGGTTTTGTTTAAACCCTAAACCTAAAGTAAGATACGATCGGTTATGTTCGTGTCGAGCAAAGTTGGGTTTTACTAAAACCTAAAACCCTAAACCCTAAAACCATACACTGGAAATTTACAACTCACATACGTACCATCAGCGTTACGTCGTTCGAAATTCCAGCACCCATCGCCCCGTATGGCATAGATTCGGAAGCTACTTCTCCGCCAATCAGATGCTCTGTTCTATTTATATCTCCGGCGTGTTGCTCCGACGCACCGGCAGAGAAGGTTTCTGATTGGTCCGTGTGTGTGAAGGAGAGCAATCGCACACCCGCTACAGCAACGTTAACAGTAAGAACCGCCATGATACAAACCTGGGCTAAGGGACCGTAGAAACTACCTGGGAGGAGTAGATGACGTTGTGAGTCGAGCATTAAAATCAGCCAATGAAATCCACGCATAGTTAAATCCAGGTATTGTGATGGAGACACCCAACAAGTACAGTCACGCGTTTAGATGCGACAAGCGTGCGCTTGGTCAGTGAGAGAGTTAGTTCTCTACCGAGACACTTGGTTGGCTGTGACGAGGCGGGTCATTGGTAAAACCCGCTCACAGAGACAAAGAACAGACACACCGACAGCACTAAGTAGCATTCTTCTGAGATGATATAGTATATATATCATCCTATATGTATATTGTATCATCTTATATACTATAGAAGGTGATATGATATATATGCCAACTTATATGTATACTACAGCATCCTATATATATTATCTTACATGATATAGTCTATATTTCACCATATATATATATATAAATATATACTATATCATTTACATAATCTAAAATGATAACATATATATATATATACATATCAATCTACTAATGCGTCCTAGTCTATGGGCACATAGCACCGGTGTACATGCTCATAACAACGCCGCGTTGAAGACACGACAGCTTGGAAGATAATCACTCCGC